GCCCGTCATCGCCGTCTCCGCCGCCCGTACGCGCCCGGCCCGCTCCACACACACACGCATACACACACACACACACATACACACAGACACACACACACACACATACACACAGACACACTACACACACACACATACACACAGACACACACAAACACACACACACACACACTACACGTACACTACACATGCATGTACGTACGTACACACATATACACACACTACACACATATTTTTTTTACTTATTTTCTGTTTTCTAATGTTTAGATGAATTAGAACTATCTAGTTGAATTAATATATAGAACTACTTTATTTTTAGTATATGCTTAGTTTGAACTAGTTGAATTAATATAACTAGTTTACTTTTAGTAAATGTTTAGTTGAACTAGTTGAATTAATATATATATAGAACTAGTTTATTTTTAGTAAATGCTTAGTTGAACTAGTTGAATTAATATATAGAACTAGTTTATTTTTAGTATATGCTTAGTTTGAACTAGCTAGTTGAATTAATATAACTAATTTATTTTTAGTAAATGTTTAGTTGAACTAGTTGAATTACTATATATATATATATAGAACTAGTTTATTTTTAGTAAATGTTTTGTTGAATTAGTTGAATTAATATATAGAACTAGTTTATTTTTAGTATATGCTTAATTTGAACTAGTTGAATTAATATAACTAGTTTATTTTTAGTAAATTTTTAGTTGAACTAGTTGAATTAATATATATATATAGAACTAGTTTATTTTTAGTAAATGCTTTAAACTAATTGAATTAATATAATTAGTTTATTTTAGTAAATGCTTAGTTGAATTAATAGAAGTAGTTGAATTAATTGAATTAGTAAGTGATTAATGTTTCGCCTAATATGAATATAGGAAATGTCGTCTAACGACGGAAAAAATTTCATTATGTGCGAATACTGTGAAGACCAGCGCGGCCAGTGCGATAAAAATTTCCTTGTTGATGGTAGGCGATTCAACATCAAGCTGGATGAGACTTTCGAATTCGATACAGTAAGTCACAACGACAAGTCTGTTTTCGTAATTAAGCATGACTTATATATGCTTCATTTGCCTGACTTATAATTTTTAATTTTCACTATTCTACTAGCGCATCCCGTGCCATGCAAGAATTTTTGTCTTGGATAAGATAGGTTTCAAAGATATGTAAACTATGGAGGTAAAGAAAGCTTACCTGAAAACTGAGCATGATGGTTATATTTTCAACGTTAAAGTATACAATACACACACGTACACCTATTTTGAGTGCAAAACTTGGCAAACACTATGCTAGGCTTATGCATTTGAGCCTGGTATGGTTATCACCTTTGATATTTGTCCGGAAGATGGTATTGAAGGTAATAGAGACATATGGGTCGATGTGCAGACGCCTCCAGTTCTACCATTATGTGAGTTTTCTCAACTATATTTTTGTTTTTGATATTGCTTATTCAAAAATAACTGACAACTAATTTCTATTGACAGCTTATCTCCATTCAACCAAACATGTCCGGCGCTTGGTAGACAGGACCTATTACTGTCCCGGAGCTGAACTAAACTGCGAGGAGATAAGCCATTATGTTTCATGGCTTGAGGAACTTCATACTGTCAAGACAAATTTTCTTCCTGCACTTAGAAATGTTAGTACTCAAAACGTGCAACCAATAGTGATGGTATTGAACTACGGTCACATCTATTTAGGAATGATGGTAAGATATTTACTATTTTTCCTTAGTGCATATTTTGCATACATATTTTTTTTTGCTAAACTTTCATTGCTAAGTATATTAATTAAGTACTATACAATGTTCTTCAACAGGGACTCCCGATGACAGTTGTGCCTCAGGGGATCGAGACTAAAGGTCAGATGTCAATTGTTAGCTTACGCCAAGATATCCTGCATTGCACATGAATGCATTCAGGATTTCTAGAAGCGATGAATGCTTAATAGTGAAAATTGAAGGAAAATTGTTAATGATCGCAGAGAAGTATTAGGGGGCAGCAATGAGAAGCGCATCCCACGATTAGGAGACAGGTTCATCGGCATGCTCCAGTATGATCAATCAGGAGAGCTATACATGTTCTATGCTATTTTACCAGAGAGAGAGAGTAGCTAGCAGGAGTGATTTAGCTAGTTCTTCATGCTGCTCTTAATTAGTACTTGTCCTTTCATGTCCGTGTTCTTCGTTCTGAACTTAAGTGATTTGCTTTTGTGATGTTATATATGAACGCTTATAATATCATGACAATCATGTTGAACTCGATCGATAATATTTTTGCTTCTGATACAAGTGAATGTTTTTTCTTTAAGCTAGTAGTGCTGGTGGTGATTAGATAGCTAGTTAATTATTATATCATTTAATGAAAGAAAACGCAGATTAGTTTCAGCTGGATGAATCCTACCTAAGTGATCAAGTATATGCCATATCCGTATATATTATAGTTGATCAAGTATAATACGGATATGGCATATACTCTAGCTAGCTAGCTATAGAGATATCCAATAATGCATCCAGTCGAAACTAATCCGCGGTACTTTCACCTACTAATTTAATAACTCATTATAATGTAAAACAATCACTAAATTAAATTGAAAACACAAAATTAAAAAAAATTTAAAAAAAACACACAAACATTTTAGTACCGGTTGGTGTTACCAATCGGTACTAATGCCCTCCATGCAAACGGGCCTAGCTCGTGCCACGTGGTGGCACATTAGCGCCGGTTCGTGACGAACCGGTACTAAAGGGAGGAGACCTTTAGTCCCCACTCTTTAGTGCCAGTTGGCGAACCGGCACTAAAGCCCGTTACGAACCGGCACTAAAGGCCGGTTCTGCACTAGTGAGTGGACAGATCGGCAGAATGTCGGCCGCACGCACGGGTGGGATCCCGACCGGGGCGGCCATGTTACTTGCGAAGAACGGAATCTTTAGCGCTCGAAAAAAAAGAGCTACACAGGATTCGAATCCAAGACCAGGTGCTCCGCAAGAAGTCCTGTCACTAGTTGAGCTAGCGACCTACCTGATTCATCATGCACCGCAAAACAATTAAGAACCAAACCAAGCGCTGATCCGTACGTTTTTAGAGTTTTAAATTGCAAAGCATTATTATTTTTAAACGTGAATATTCTATGAAACTCCGAACAGTTTTCGAAATTGGGAATAAAATTTTGAAAAACTTAAACATTTTCTAAAATGGTAGGCAAATTTTGGAAACAGGAACATTTTTCTAAACTCCCCCAAAAAATTGAAAATACGAATTTGTTTCCAAAAATGAGAACCTTTTCCAAATCCAAAACATTTTTTGGATAGGTGAACATTTTTTAAAAATCGGAACATTTTTTGAAATTCCCGAAAAATATTTGAAAACACGAACATTGTTTGAACTCACGGACATTTTTTTGAAATTTGCGAACAGTTTGTAACTCCGGAACGAAATTTAAAACACAAACAATTTTTTAAATTTGCAAAGAAATTTTGAAATGGGAACATTTTTTAGGCCCGCAAACAAAATTTGAAAACGATATTTGAGATCCTGAACAAAATTTGAAATGTTGTGAAAATTTGGAAAAATACATAATTTAAAGAAACAAAAACGAAAAAAAATATAAAAGAAACAGAAAAACGAAAAAAAAAGAAACAAAAAAAACGAAAAAAAATGAAAAATAGAAAACAAAAAGAAACCAAAAACCAGCCAAAACGGTTCCAAAATAGCGTCAAATAGGAAAAATCCTGTCCTCGCTCTATGCGTTACCGCGACATTTAGACGCAGAGAGCGTCAAATAGGAAATTCCGTGGTTCGCTGCTCAACCCTTTTTTTACTACTCTATCTACTAGCCTCCTCTGTAGCACTGTCCGTCTCATCACATCAATCACATCGCATCACCAGACCAGAACGGCTAGCAGGCAGAGCAGAGAGCCATGAGTCTGCAGGGCAGAGAGCGATGGAGGAGGAGAAGGAGAGCGGCGACGGGGGGAGGGTGAGGGAAGGGGAACCGCGGAGGCTTCAGAAGACGAACACATCTGCGGCCAGCAATGGCAGCATCGAACTGGATCTTCTTGACTGCACCATCTGCATGGATCCCCTCCGCCCTCCGGTCCGGTCCTCCAGGTACCGCATCCACGTCTCCTTGCTTCTCCCCTCTTTTGCTTTCCCTTGCTCGAACGAGATTGGTGGATTGGATTATTGGATAGCACTGTTTGCCTCGTTTGATCTACCAATGCCTGAATTATTAGGCGATTGGGATGCCAATGCCTGAATGCCTGTAGAATAAATCTGTAAGTTCAGGTAGAAATCATACAGTAGATGGCAAAGATAGTTCAGCTAAAATCAACAGTGTCACATCGATTCACCACCATTCATGCATATCTTGCTGCGGGAGAGGTAAATGAAAGGGGATCGGTCAGTGTCTTCATCCAAGCAACAGAATATACCAAATAATCTCACCCTGCGCCTCCCCTTGAGGTCTGATTTTGTCTTGTCCAAATTACTGTATGAGGCACCAGCAAACTGAAAGCTGAATCCTTGATTGACACATTAACTAGCTGAATCCTCAACTGACCAGTGACAACCTCATTACATTGCAAGAGGATGGATTGCACTCAAGTGTACTGCTCTTCGGCTCTAGTAAGAGTGAACAGCACCACATAGCTCTGCAAACACCACAGGGCCATCCTAAATCAGACCATTCCCCATCCTTCATCAAGCACCTTACAAACCAATGACTGAATCCAACAGCTACGGAAATCCGTTCGACCTGCAGCCCAGTCATCCTATTCCAAGTATCAATTTTCTTTCTGTAAACTTTTAGTCAAACATCACCTCCAACTCCCAAGGTACCGGGAAAAAATTGAGTCTCTTTTATTTTGGGGAATCTGTTGCCAAGTATCCTTTTACTTCTTGCTAAGGGATTATGCAATTAATTTGCCGCCTGCATAATACATTTCCATGTCACACCATCATTACTTTTCAGCAATTACAAATTGATCAATCATGTATGCACGGTTCCTCATTGTTGTTTCCCTCTAACCTTCTGAACTGAAACTGAGGATTTATGTTTGCAGCATAAAAATCATTTTCACAAGCAGGCCTCTAACCATGGTGCATTTTCCTTCTTGATACCCAGTGCACAGTTGGGCATGTAATATGCTCGTCCTGCCACGACAGCCTACCCAACAAGGACAGCTGCCACATGTGTACGGCCACCGGTGGTTACAGTCGGTGCATCGCGCTTGACAAAATTCTGGAGTCATTTTGTGTTCCCTGCTCCAGTGCCGTGTATGGTTGCACTGTGAAGACACTCTACTACAAGGCTGAAGATCATCACAATTCGTGCCCACAGGTGCCATGTTTCTGCCCAGGACACGCCTGCAGCTTCGCCGGCACAACCGTCAATCTCCTGGCTCATCTCACCGGCGATCACAAATGGAAATCCAAGGAGGTTAAGTACGACGCCAAGTTCACTCTGCCTGTCAAAGAAGGGACGTGGGTTCTCCACGCCCGAGACCAAGCGCCCCTATTCCTTGTGAAATTCACCCCGGCCGCCTTTGGGCAATGTTGCCTCCGTCCTGTGCGTGGATCCTCATGCCACCGCTGAGCGTAGGTTCAGGTGCCGTCTTGGTTCCAGTTGCACCGCCATGGGTCAGCAGCAGTCCTCTGATTTCCAGGTCAGGAGCACCAACCTCTCCGACGGGTTACTGTTCACAGAGAATGATGGCTCCTCACTGTTTGCTTCTAGCACCCGCAGCATCACTGTCAGTATCATGAAGATAGTGCGCGACAAGCGTAAGCGTGGGAAGGCGATGCGTCAAAGTATGCTTCCGTTTGTGGCAGCTAGTTGATCAGTGTTTCTGCGAAGATAGTGTGTGTCGTGTCAAGCGTAAGCGTGGGAAGGAGGTGGAACAAAGTACACTTACGTATGTGGTAGCTAGTTGATCCGTGTTGGCTGTGTGCATCAATCGTTCAACAGGCTGGGGGTACTTGAAGTGATGTACATGTTTATAGAGCTGTTGTTCAGGTACCCATGTGTGCATTTTGTCAAACATGATGTTACGTTGGCACGTGATATTGGCGCATACACCTGAGCCGCACCTGGAGGTAGTTAGGATAGATATAGATAGACATAGATGAGTTGTTTCTTTCTCCCCAAGTTCTATCTCTTCTCCCTGAATATCTCCTGTATCTAAACTACTTTGTATGCGCTGTACGGGATGTGCGCCCCACTATATTAACATGTACCCGTTGGCCTCAACAGGCAAGACGTTTCCAGCTAATCGCACATGGTAGTCAGAGCTATCCTTTTCCCATCGAAGCTCCCTGCAAACTCCATCTAGCCCTAGCCATGTCTTCCACCTCCGGCGCATCCCAAACCAACCTCAGCGGCCAAGTTACCGAGAAGTTAACCCGCACAAATTATGTGCTATGGCACACGCAAGTCATCCCCTAGCTGCGCGGCGCCGGTGTCTACGGCTACGTCGACGGCACCCAGCCGGAGCCGGAGAAACTCCTCGTCACCACCAAGGACGGTAAGGAGGTCTCATCATCGCCCAACCCTCTCCACCCAATCTGGGTCCGGGAGGATCAGCAGGTTTTGGGGTACCTGCTGAACAACCTGACACGTGAGGTGCTGCTCACGGTGACCACGGTCACCACCGCGGGCGCGCTCTGGACGTTGCTCGCTGGGATGTTCTCGTCCCAGTCTGCCAGCCGCATCAACAACATACGCACGTCTCTCATCAACGCGCAGAAGGGGAACCTCTTCGTCGCCTCCTACTTCGCCGCCATGTGCGGCTACCCCGACGAGCTGGCTGCCGCAGGCAAGGCGATCCCCGACGACGAACTCGCCTCCTACATCATCCACGAGCTCGACGCCGACTATCATCCCCTGGTCGCTGCCCTCGACGCTCGCGTAACCGGGGTAACCCTTGATGAACGTTTTGCCATGTTATCCAACTTCGATCAGCGCATGGCTCACTTCCAGGGGGCCGGCGACAGCGGCTTCAAATCATCCGCGAACGCGGCCACTCGTGGGCGGGGTGGCGGCTCTCGCTCCCATGGCTCTCCTTGCAACAAGGGCAGGTCCAGTGGTGGCGGCAACCGTGGCGCCACGCCACCTCAATCTGGTGGCCGAGGCCGCCGCGGACGCGGTGCTGGTGGTGGCGGCAGGAACCGTCTGGACAGTCCTCGGTGCCAGATCTACGGAAAGCTCGGGCATACAGCAAAGGACTGCTGGTACAGGTATGAGGAGGACGACTATGATTCACAAGATGAAGAAAAGGTCGCTGCGGCGGCTGATGGCTCATATGGTGTCGACACGAACCGGTACGTCGACAGTGGTGCTACCAACCACATCACCAACGAGCTCGAGAAAGTAACCATGAAGGAGAAGTACCGTGGCAAGGATCAAATCCACACTGGCAGTGGAGAAGGTATGAGTATAAGTCACTTTGGTCATTCAATATTTTGTACCCCTCATCGCAATATCCATCTTAGAATTTTTTTGCATGTTCCTAGCGCCAACAAGAGTCTTCTTTCTGTCCATAGAATTTCCCTTGATAATCATGTATTTCTTGAATTTCACCCTTACTTCTTTTTGATCAAGGATCAGGCAACGAGGACAGTTCTCTATCGAGGTAGATGCGTTGGCGGCCTCTATCCGTTGATCCCGGAGTTTAGAAGACCAAATAAATATGCTTGTGGTGCTATCAAGCTTTCATCCACACGATGGCATGATCGTTTAGGACATGCATCTTTTTCTTTAGTTGAAAAATTGCTTAGGAAAAATAATCTCCCGTTTGTTGGTGAGCGTCATAATGAGACAATTTGCGATTCATGTCAGAAAGCTAAAAGTCATCAGTTGCCTTACCCTATTTCCAGCAGTGTCTCTACCAACCCATTACAATTGATTTTTTCTGATGTTTGGGGTCCTGCCCCTACCTCTGTTGGCAGACATTCCTATTATGTTAGCTTCATCGATGACTTTAGCAAATTTTATTGGATCTATCTTTTAAAGAAACGATCCGATGTGTTTCAAGTGTTCAAAAAATTTCAAGCACTCGTTGAGCGAAAATTTGACAACAAAATCATCGCTGTCTAGTCAGACTGGGGAGGGGAATACGAAAAGTTAAACTCCTTCTTCCAAACACTTGGTGTCTCACATCAAGTGTCATGTCCTCATGCTCACCAACAAAACGGGTCAGCTGAACGCAAGCATCGACACATTGTCGAAGTTGGCCTTGCTCTTCTCGCTGGTGCCTCCATGCCTCTAAAATTCTGGGATGAAGCATTTTTAACTGTAGTTCATATCATCAACATGCTCCCTAGTTGTGTTATTCACAATGAAACTCCAATAGAACGACTTCTCCGCACCAAACCAGACTATAAGTCCCTTCGTGTATTTGGGTGTGCATGTTGGCCCAACCTTCGTCCCTACAACAACCGAAAGCTCATGTTTCAATCAAAACAATGCATCTTCCTTGGTTATAGTGCACAACACAAAGGGGTCAAGTGCTTAGATGTTTCAACCGGACGAGTGCACATCTCCCATGATGTCGTTTTTGATGAAACCAAGTTTCCATCCGCCGATCTTCACCCCAACGCCGGTGCACTACTTCGAGAAGAAATTCTCCTCCTACCCCCTCATCTCACTAGTTTTGATCAAGGGGGACAAAATATTGATGATCATTCGCTGACTAACTCATCTAATGCCGTGCATGAGCTTTGTGTTGATGAAACAGGAGACAATTGTGAAGAAAATAATCAAAACAGAAAAAAAATTGGGCCATATTTCATGTGTTCCGTGGCAGGAGACCACGCGCCAGGAAACAGATCCTCCTCGGGATCGGCAGCGCAGCAGCAAACCGGATTCTCCTCGGGATCGGCAGCGCAGTAGCGGACCAGATCCTCCTCGGAATCTGGTGGTGCAGGGACGCCAGGCGCAGGCGCGTGCGCCGCCACGCAAGATGTGCGTGCCTCCACGTCACACACGCGGGCCAACCCCGACATGCGGGTCCCTCTAGGCGGCACGCGGTACGGCGCCCGTCCCGTCACTTATCAGCGGTGCCAATCCGTGCGGGCCAGTGCGGACGCGGGACCCAGAGCCGGTCCCGCTGGAGCTGATCAACCGACCAGCGCGCAGACCCGCGCCACGGCATCATCATTGCACAATGATGAGCGGGCCCCCGCCGCGGGATCTTCTGTGCTAATCCTTGAAGAGGCGCCTCAGCCAGCGGCCACAGAAGATCCGGCCAGTCCTGCGCGCACTGGAGCTGCTGTGGCAACTGCTGCTTGGTCTGCGGCAGGATCCCCCTCGGGATCTGTTGCTGATCTATCCATGCAGCCCTCTGGATCCTCTGTGGCTGTGGATTCTGCTGCACCTCCATCACGACGAACACGGCTTCAACAAGGGTTAATTCATTCTTTAAATTATAAACATGTAACCAAATATGGTTTGGTCTGTTCCACATGAGAACCATATGAGCCAGCAACCCTTGATGCAGCACTTCGTGATGATAAGTGGAAGAAGGCAATGAATGAAGGATACATGGCATTAAAGAAAAACAAGACTTGGCACTTGGTTCCTCCACAGCAAGGTAAAAACTTGATTGATTGAAAGTGGGGTTTCAGGATCAAGAGGAGATCTGATGGAACCATTGATCGCTACAAGGCTAGACTAGTTGCAAAAGGCTTCAAACAGCGGTATGGTATAGACTATGAGGATACGTTTAGTCCTGTTTTAAAAGCAACCACTATTCGTCTCATTTTGTCCATTGCTGTTTCCAGGGGATGGAGTCTCAGGCAGCTCGATGTACAAAACACGTTTCTCCATGGTGTTCTGGAAGAGGAAGTGTATATGAAACAACCTCCTGGGTTTGAAAGTAAGAAAACTCCCTCCTATGTGTGCAAACTTGATAAAGCTCTATATGGATTGAAGCAAGCTCCAAGGGTGTGGTACTCACGTCTTTGTCATAAGATGCAAACACTTGGATTTATTCCCTCTAAGTCAGACACATCATTGTTCATTTATAACAGATCCAATACATGCATATTTGTTCTCATCTATGTTGATGATATAATTGTAACCAGTTCATCCGATGAAGCAACTAGAGGACTGTTAAAAGACTTGAGTGCAGATTTTGCATTAAAGGACCTTGGGGACTTGCACTACTTTCTTGGGATTGAGGTAAAGAAGCATTCAAATGGACTTCACCTCTCTCAAGCTAAGTATGCCACTGATCTGGTCAGAAAGGCAGGACTGCAAGGTTGTAAACCCTCTCTCACACCACTATCAAGCTCAGAAAAATTGTCACTTATGGAAGGTAAACTTTTGAGTCAGGAAGATAGCACAAAATATAGAAGTCGAGTAGGAGCTCTTCAGTACTTGACTCTTACCAGGCCTAATCTTTCAGTTGCTGTCAACAAAGTTTGCCAATTTCTGCATGCACCTACCACTGTTCACTTGACAGCTGCAAAACGTATCATTAGATATGTTAAACATACTCTGAGTATAGGTCTGAATTTCAGCAAGTCATCCTCTACTCTTGTCAGTGCATTCTCTAACTCTGATTGGGCAGGCTGCCTGGATGACAGGCGCTCCACGGGAGGCTTTGCAGTATTTTTTGGACCTAACCTGATATCATGGTGTGCACGCAAACAGGCTACTGTCTCTAGGTCAAGCACTGAGGCAGAGTACAAGGCACTAGCAAATGCCACAACTGAAATCATTTGGGTTCAGTCTATGTTGAAAGAGCTTGGTGTAAAGAGCAAACAAGCTCCATGCTTGTGGTGTGATAATCTTGGTGCTACTTACCTTTCTGCTAATCATGTGTTCCATGCCAGAACA